TTCGGAATAAGACTTCGACAATTCCACTGTAGAACAGTGATCAAATCCCCGACCTCGTTTGGAAAATTATCCATCGAAGGAGATGATAGCTGCAAGAAGGGGCCATTTTGAAGTCAATTGCTTCAAGAAGGATTTCACAGTCGGAAGCAATGTGAGGACAATGCTTTTCAGAGGATCAGAAATGTTGAGGTATTTGAGAATACCGTCCACAATGTCATCAAATGAGAACAGCCCAGATGAAGAAGGGGTTTCTGTTCTTAAAATTGGGGCACCAGGGGTTTTGGATGTCCCCGGAAGTGGTGGAAAATCCTGGGTATAGTCAGTTCTTCGGAATCCAGGAGGAGTAGAAGTCTCCTTTTTTCCACCACTCCTTGATTTAGGCAAGCTGATTTGGGGTTCTTTATTTGCAACAATCCGCGAACGGATGCGCTTTCGTTTCCGTGCAGAACCTTCCGGAAAACTGAAAGAAGTTCCCTCCTCAGCCAAGTCAGAGTCAGTCTCGTCATCTGACAAAAGAGAAAAGGGATTTTTGTCATTGGTCGATGGCGTGGCTGTCTTAAGCATTTCTGCAAAAGACCGCCTGGAACGTTCCTTAAGGGAGCGTTTCATTTTGTCCCCGAGCTGTTTGTACGCCGGGCACGACGAGAGAGCATGAGGAGGAGTTCCGTTGCAGTACACGCATTTTGGTGCAGTAGCTGCGCAAGCGCCATCCTCATGCTTCTCCCCGCATGTGGAGCAGCGTGCCTTGTTGCCGCAGTGGGAGGCCGTATGTCCCAACCGCTTACAATGCTGGCAGTTCATGACCCGAGGTACAAACAACCGCACAGGAAGACGAAGTTTTCCCAGCTCGATGTATTGAGGAAGGGCAGATCCAGAAAAGGTCACCCGAAACGAGTCTGTGGGGGTAAAACTCTTTTTACCCTCGCTGAGCGATACTGACTTCATTCTATGAACGGCCAGTATCTTTACCGGAGGAAGCAAGGGGTTCTTGAATCGGCCAACCGCTTGCTTCTCCAGTATCTCGGGGTTCAGACTCGCCTCAGTGACCACGCCTTCGATCTCCACATCAGAGGCTGGAATGTACACCCTATATTCCAGTGTGAAAAACTGGGAAACAGCAATTTCATTAGCCTGTTTCAAGTTAGCGACGGTCACACGAAGTTTGTTGTGCCTAACCTTCGTTATTTCGGTCACGGCAGAGAATCGCTTTGTCAGATCATCAGATATCTGAACAACATTCAAGGGTTTGTTTTTGGGCTGAAAATAGACAACCCATGGGCCAGTCGAGTCATTCGGGTAGGCCCGCAATCTGGAGCTTTTCTCAGCCTGCCCATTGTCAGACTGAGACGACGAACCAGGGATGACATCATCATTCTTCTGAGATGAATGGTCATCCATGTCGTCTTCTGACAAAACATCCATTTTGTTCAACTAGTGGGAGCGCAAAACGCTCTCCCACTGAACGCACAGACACAATACACAGAAAACACTACAAACACAGAAATACAAAACGAAAATTTATCTAATGGGGGAGTAAAAGAAACAAGAAAAAAACAAAAACTTATCTGATAATCCTATACTACTACCACCGAGCGTTATATGTGTAGGCGTTTACACAGATGGCTGGGAAGCGACGCGCAGCGTGGATGACCTTCGCTGTGGTGCACTTGATCGAGGCGCGGCACTCAGCGCACACAGGCGCACAATGAATGATGAACGATATAGATGTAGAAACGGGTGCTCACACTCGATGATGATGATACGTGAGCGGGTATGCGTAAGCGCGTATGCGTAAGCGCGTATGCGTAAGCGCGTATGCGTGACCACGCAACGATGATGCCCAAATTTGTTTGCGAATTTTCAATAGCACGGATTAATCTTTCCGAAAATGGCACTTTCTACTAAAAAAAACTCACTTTTCGATCAATTTACCGGGAACTATGCCAGGAGTCACTTAGTGAGAAAAAAACTGATAAATTATATCAAGCGAATACCGAAAAAACTTCCAAAACAACGGAGCGCGAAACAAGTCGACCGTACTTCTTGCTAGGACGCAGTGGGATGGATTGTGACGCAGGCTTGATGAAAATTATGATTTAACGCTAATTTTCACGAATTTTATATGCAGTCTGTCAACATTATCATCATCATGCAGTGGCGACAATCTTCCAATAGAATTTTCTTGGAAGCTTGTGCCATCATCCACCAGATGGGTTAGTTTTTTTTGTTTTGATTTGAACAAAGTTGATTTTGTATATAATGATTCTTTGACAGTGTGCAAAGAGTGTATCATTTTGTCATTTTTTTATGCATTTCAGTTTTGAGTAGAGTGAAAGAGATAGAACCAAAACATTCTAATACATTTGGTGAAAATGCTAGTACAATCCAGTAGTAGTGTTGCCATGTGGTACAATCTAGTAGTAGTGGTGTTGCCATGTGGTACACTGAAAAATTGAAATAGCAGGTTAGTCACCAAAGTTTTCGAGCCGCTCCGTCTGTCACTGCTGTCACTATTTACCCAGTTACCAAATACAATCAATTTTGGAAATTGTTAAAAAGTACTCAATGATTTGACGTACAAGCTCTTTACCCATTAGTGGGTAAATATGTTTTACCCATTTTATGGGTTAACCCACTTTACCGCAAAATGGGCACTTTTTCACTTCTAGGGGTACTTTTCAGTAACAGTGAGTCCCATCCTGAAATTGAATCGTCCAGAGTTAAAGTTATGATTTTGGAATTGTCATATTTTTCGTTGATGTAAAAAAACATGAAAGCTTCATTAACTGATTTTTACTTCAAAAAATATCAAATTTTCTAAGAGTTTTCAAATATTTACACACCGAAAAAAAGTTGTTGAATATAACATCCAAACTGCTGCAACCAGGTCAATCCATTGGTTGTGTAATATAACGTTGTACGATGTACATCGATTTTGCGAACAAAATTACATCCATTGATGTAATATTATATCTGCTTTTTGCTATTACATCATTATTTCATACATCAGCTTGAATTACATTGATCGATATTACACGCAGAAAAAACTATCGTCGTAACAAAAATATTTGAGGTAAATTTAAACGTAAACTCAGTTTGTTCTGGCCACAAACATAAATTAGGTTGATTTCAAACGTATTCCATGTTTGAAGTCATGTGAAATCAATGTTTAAAATAAAAATAATGTTACGTTTATTTCAAAAATATTCGTGTTGAAAATAAACGTATTTATTTTTGTTTGGTTTGACAGCTATGCGAACAATAATAAATATGTTTATTTTAAACATGCTTTTCATGTTTAAAATAAACATACATATTTTCGAATTATTTTAGTAGTTGAGTGCAGGGTAAAGCAAAATAAAACGGTTTGCAAAGAAATGAAAAAAAATATTTTCGGGCAGTGTGGGTGGGTGTCCGGGGGTTCCAGTTCAGTGGAACCGGTGCAAATTTGTGTTATTAGCGTCGTTTTGCCGTTTCTGCCTCGGTTTCTGCCACTGGTCCTCATACCGGTTTTTTTTCCATGTTCGGTATCGGAGGAGGATCCGGAATGGATTCGGAATGGATGGCCGTTTTCTGTTGAGGTTGAGCAACCCTAATAAAAAATAACCATAAACGAACGATAACCCAAATCATTGAACTATTCCATAAATGGTTTGGATGATACCCAGAACACGTCGTTAAGCAAATTAACCATACAATTTTTATTAGGGAAAGCTGGGGCAACTTTTTCCGAATGTAACAAGAAGGAAATAAAAAGGCATGACACGCTAAAAACCGGTTACCCAAATCCTATATTGTTGAAATAAACATGCATTTGAATTTTATTCAAACATACATATTTTAGTTTTAAATATGCTTTCAAATTACTTTGAATAATTCATATGTTTAGAGTATAAACATTTATATTTTTGTTTTAAATGAACAAAATTCGTATCCGTGTACATTTTTTTTTGCAGTGCATGAGAATTGCACTTCGTACCTTCGACGGCCATTTCCTCAATGTCTACCATGTCTGGGTTCCCGCATAAACGATAACCATATGGAGTGCCTAACAACCTATTCGGGTTATCATCCCAACAATATGAGGTACGGTGGCACGATTTGTGGTATCGTTCATTTATGGTGCTCGTTTATTAGGGTTTCCACCGGTTGATAATACCATAGAGGTAACTCTAAGACCAGAAGGTCCCGAATAAACGTGCTCAACTTTTTGGCTCAGCTCTGGTACTCTCTTCGGTCCCAAGCTAATCGATTCACCCCTCGAAACATAGGAAAAACCAATAACCCCTCATTTTATCTGTCAAACTTTCATAGCGAATCAAAACAAACGTAGTGTAGTACTGGAATTTATACTAGAATGGGGTACGTTAGTCGATTTGCTTGGGACCAATAGGCTAGTCAAGTAGTGAGCCAATCGTTACACAGAAATTCAAAACAACCCAAAATTAAGTTCTTTTCACTCATCTCCCATGTTCCGTACGATAAGCCAAATTTGGGTAAACCGGCTCAAAGTAGTTTGCACGGCAAAAAAAAATACCCATCGCTAAGTTATTTTCAATTTTTTCTACCCAAAATTAAGTTCAATTAACTCAAATTTGGGTATATCGCATATTACTCAATTTTGGCTTCTCGTACGGAACTAGACGGTTGAGTCGAATCTTTCGTTCTATTTTTGACAACAATAGCGAGAGGAAATGAAACGGGCAGAGGTCAAATAACTCAAATTTAACTTTAAAAACCCAAGCGGTGGGTAGTTTTGTTTTTCTGTGTAGATTCCACCGGTTGATAATACGGTATTATAATACTTTGGCCTTTACGCATTTTTTTTTTCTGTGGGGCAAAACTGTAATACCAGCAATTTTTCCCGCATCCCGGCAACACTGATCTCGTGCCTCATCTATATAAATCCCGCCCGTCAAAACGACTGTCAACGTCAACAAACGATCGGTGCTCTCGCGTTTTGCTCCGGCTTTGTTGTTTGCGTCCTTTCTCTCGTGGTGCGGTTCGTTGTTCTTCTCTCGTTCTTCGTGTAACTTTTTCCTGATGGTGTTTGTTCGGTTCGACGCGTCAATCGCTGGGAAGTTTCTGGAAATTGGCAGAATATTACGTTGAATATCGGTTGTAAAGTACCGAGGTTTCGTGCATTGCCGTTGGGATTAAATCGTGCCGGTGGATTGTGCAAATTGTCCCGTTTTGTGTGGAATATTTAAATTTGAAAATTTCTTTGTCGGCAGCCATTTTCTTCCAAGCTAAAAGTGTTGGATTTTGCAGTGTACTGTTAGAGAAAATTGGACTTTATTTGGTATTGATTTAGAAAGTTGTGCAATTATTAAAAGTGAGTGAATTAGTGGGTTAAGAAAAGTATAGGATGGCGAGCCCCTCGCCAGTAAATAGTCCTATGCCTCCGCCTCAAGCGCCGAGTCCAATGGGACCACCTTCGCAGAGCCCCGCACCGTCCCCCTCGCCGCATAGCCCGTATCAGCCACCACCGGGCCCGCCTCAGGGTCCTCCGCATATGGCTCCGGGGCAAGGTCCGCCGCACCCGCACGGTCCACCAGGCCCGCCACAAGGGGGTCAAGGTGGTCATATGCAAATGCAGGGTCCCCCGCCACAACATGGACCGCAGCCACCGAATCCCCATGGACCACCACCACCGCAGCATGGTCCTCCGCATATGAACGGTCCTCCACCGCAAGGTCCCGGAGGACCCCAGGGACCTCCGCAGCACCATATGCAAGGCCCCGGAGGGCCTCCCGGACCACCACCACAGCATATGCAGCAGCATCCTCCGGGTCCACCCCATCCGCAGATGGGTCAGCATTCGGGACCGCCACCGCAATCGCAGCCGCCGCATCCCGGAATGCCGCCCCACCAGGGCCCGCCAATGCCACCCGGGATGGTTCCCGGGGGCTATCCACCTCACTCGATGCCACCCAATTCGGTGAGTAGAAACAATATTTACTAACAATGAAAGATTTGTAGGTATTCCTTTATTTCTGTCCGTTAACGTTTTCGTTCACCTGGCGAACAATTTCGAGTAAACGATGAGCCAATTTCTCACTGCTAGCGGCAATTATGTCCGGTTTCAGAATATCGTACTGGCCTCCGTTAATGTTGATGACAACGCCCCCGGCTTCCCTTATCAAGAGTGCACCTGCCGCAATGTCCCACGGTTTCAAATACTCGATGCAGTAGCCGTCCAGATTACCACTGGCGATGTAGGCTAATGATAAGGCAGCCGATCCCATAGCCCTCAATCCGGTGCACTCCTTGATGAGCTCCTGACCGCGACCGAAGATGTGCGGACGAGCTGCCTCGTAGCTGGCAATGGAAATTTCGTGTCCGATCAGCGAGCTTTTAAGCTGAAAAATTATAAGGGATTAGTTTCAAGTAGATTGCATGTTACGAAAGCAAAAACCTACGTCTTCTATTCCGCTGACTCGGATCCGTTCTCCATTGAGGAAAGCTCCCTGTCCGGCAATCGCTGTATACATCTCCTCCAAGCATGGGTTATAGAGGATTGCAATTTTCAGATCTCCGCTCACCACCAACGCCACCGAAATTGCGATGAATTTTACACCACGGACGAAATTAATCGTTCCATCAATGGGATCGATGATCCACGTTGGTCTCTCGTCCAGCGGCTCCTTAATGTTGGCAGCGCTGGTAGATTCCTCACCGAGCATCCGATGGTCTGGGAACCGTTTTTTCAGTCCCTCGATTAGGACATCTTCCACGCGTCGATCGTACTGCGTGACCAAATCCCAGTGCCTTCCCTTGTTGGCGACCGATTTCGTCGTGTTCCGGAAACCCTCCCGTACGATAGGACCGCACTGTTTGGTTAGTTCCAGGGCAAGGTCGAACGCTACCTGAATCTGCTGATCGTTCATTTTCGTTCGATGCTTGAATGAAAACTGATGGTGCTCTGTCTGATTGAGTAGTTGGTAGCAGCTACCTGTGGCAGTTGACTTGACGTAACCGAGTGCGACAGATAAGATTTCAGGTGATATTTCTGCAAACAAAATAGGGCTGGAATTTGATGCGGAGTGAGCCACGGTCTGCGCGCAAGGCAAGGCAGCTAATTTATTTGACTTTCAGAGGCAGCGATGCCAGTTTTTTTTTTGCAATTGTTTCATTTAGATGTTTTAAGGTCCTACTTTGGATGCTAGAATGTTTTAGATCAGTGCATCAGATTGGGAAACACATGGTTGATATACTTCCCTGCTTGATTTCCTATTCATATGGAACAGTTATATTTTTATGGGTAGTACATATGCAAAGTAGAAAATTTACTTATTGAAATTGAACGTTCGTAAATCGTGATAATGAACTCAACTCTAGTCAAAGCTTCCAGCACTGACCAGTTGAGTTATAGGAATGTCATCTCTGTAAACGAAGCTGTCGACTTCCAACGCGGGCTTACGTTTTTATTACTATTTATTCAAGCGAATATCATGAACTTATACAGATAGCGAACTGTGCTTCTTGGTGTACTCTACCGCGATTAACTGGCTGGCTGTGTATTGGTTTCGCTAACGTCCAGTGGGAATGAAAATACGAAGGTCTATATTGCACACTGCAATCTGTCAGTGCGATAGGCTTGCCACATATGTATATAGACTTCTGTGAAGAATACACAGCTGCATGGTGTGTCAACAAAACAACTGAACTATACAGAAAGATATCAGTTATCGCCATTTGCTGGAAACTACAGTGGGGTTCGCAGTATCCAGATGATAGGATGCATTTGCATGTGAAAGGGTAATTTGATGCTCTCGAAAAACTGTACCTTCTCAATTCTCAAAAGATTTTCAAAAGCCTGATGAAATTCAGCGAAAAATTCGAGTAATTTCTAATCAACTCGATAGTTCCATGCCCTACACGCTAAGATCATGTAAGCAATATATAGATTAAGTTTTCCCAGATTGGGCGTAGATCGGACGAACCCAAATATGGGCAAATTTAAATTAATAATTTGAAGAGCATTGCATATTGAATTCAAAGAGTGTTCTGCAGATGATTTTCAAAAGTATTAATGTACCATCGGCGTACGCATCAGAAGAATATGTTGCCTGGTTGGCCATGATTTGTAGCCAGGGTAAGAAAGTAACAAACTGCAAATATTTTGTCAGTTTAGTTCCAACCACCGAAGAGACAAGTCGAAATATAATTAGCTCTTAAACCTAAAACTAGTTTCCTTCTCTTCGAGAACACAACATATTTTGACAATGAGGTAGTGATAACCATCAACTGGACCTGCGTAGTCGATGTGGATCATCTCCCACAGTTTAACCATGGTAACATTCCAGCATCTCCAGACGTTCCTCTCAGTTTTCCGGTCTACGCCGAATAGTAGCGCTCCGGATGGTAAGACACCTGCCCATCTATTTTTAGGAAGACCAATACGAACAACGCTGGACCTATTGAAGCCCTGTGTTCAGAGTCCAACCTTGGAGAACAAGATGCAGAACGCTATACATTCAACAGACGGCATGGCGCAGTGAAGAAATCATTCGATCCGGATGATTTGGTCTACGCTCAGATCCATCGTCGCCACACAGTCAATTGAATTCCAGGACAGCTAATTGAGCGCAAGGGCAAAGTGAACTACACTGTTTTGCTCGAACATGGACGCTTGATTCGAGCACACACCAACCAGCTAAAATAACGATATCCGGATGAAAATGATGCCGATCAATCTCCAAATCCGCGCAATCAACTTCCCTTGGCCTTGCTAGTTGACGAGTTCCACCTGAACGAGCTCGAGAGAAACAGTGGGCTGTAAATGAAAATTTTCTTCCGCGTGGAACGAAAGAAAACGCGTCTGGTCTGTTCTGCTACAGAAAATTGACTGTCCTTTATTGCGTACTTTACAGAGTTTAGGTGTGTTGGTAAAAATGAAATGGGTTTCTCTCTTCAAGGTTGGCAGTGTTGCGGGTGCGTTGCTACACTCAACATCCTCCGGGCCGTTGAAATTGTGAATTTCAAAACCTTACTCGTCTCGTTGATCTCTCTCGTTGTCCAAGGGCAGAAGACAGATCTTCTTTACGGCCCTTTTCGTCGTTCCATCCTTCGTTCGAAGACTAACCACGCGTGTGTGGCCGTCTTTGCCGGGATGTAACTCTATGATTCGAGCCAGCTGCCACTGCAGTGGCGGAGTATTCTCATCTACGATGAGGACCAAGGCTCCCACCTGGTAATCGGTGACCTTGAAATCCTTCGGGCGCTTCTGCAATTCGTGCAAGTAGTCTCGCATCCACAGCTTCCAAAATTTCTGCTTCATGTCTTGAACCAGTTGCCACTGGGACAGTCTGCCTTGCGGAATATGTTCATACGACGGTTCCTGGATTCCTTGGAACTCACGCCCTATCAGAAAGTGGGCAGGAGTAATGGCATTGATGTCATTCGGGTCATCTGATACTGGCACGAGGGGGCGTGAATTTAGCACGGCTTCGATTTGTGTCAGCACAGTTGCAAATTGTTCAAATGACAGCTTGTGTTCTGCCATGATCAGCTTTAGATGCGATTTCACCGACTTTACGCCGGCTTCCCAAATCCCACCAAAATGAGGACTGCGTGGCGGAATGAATGACCACTCGATCGCTCTCTGGGCACAAAATTCGTTGAGCTTCAGCTGATGTTGTTCTTCCTGGAACAGGGTTGCCAGTCGATTCATTTCGTTATTAGCACCTTCAAAATTGAAAGCGTTGTCAGAATACAGCTTCACAACGAGTCCTCGACGGCTTACAAAGCGTTGAAGGGCTCCCATGAAACCTTCGGACGTCAAATCGGAGACAGCTTCAAGATGTAGAGCACGTGTTGCCATGCATACAAACACACACACGTAGCCTTTCAGTACTGCAGCATTCCTTATTTTCGTGTTCGATCGAATCTTGAATGGGCCAGCAAAATCGATTCCAGTGTGCGCGAAAACTGGTGAAGGTTGCACTCGGTAGTCTGGCAAATTCCCCATTAGTTGTGAGGATCGTGTTGGTTTCGTCCGAAAACAAGGAACACATTGATGAACCAACTTTCGAATCAGGTTCTTCGCATTCAGCGGCCAGTATTGCTGTCGAACAATTCCTAGGAGACCTCGCTGTCCGATGTGCATATTCGTACGATGCAGGTATCGTATTAATGTTACCGTCACTGGGTGTTTCTCGGGCAACAGCGCTTGATGTTTATGTTGATATGGAATGGCCGCATTTTTCAATCGACCTCCCACACGTAGGACTCCATCACTTTCGTCGACGAATGGATTCAAATTACGTACTGGAAATTTGAACTCCTTCCCTGCTTTCAGCGTGCTGATTTCCGATTCGAAAACTTCATTCTGCACCATACGGACAATCAACGTGCTTGCTCGTGTCATTTCAGATGCAGTAGGCAGCCCGTTGGTCAAAGTTTCCTTGCCATTCTTGACGTAGTCACAGAATCGAACAACATACGCCATGGTACGTTGTATGATGCTATATCGGCTTATTCGATCGAAAAGTTCCAATCTCGGATGACTACGTGTCGTTACGAGCACAACGCTACGAAGGTCCGGCAATTCCTCTTCCGGAATAGGTGGCGGTTCATCGAATCGCCCGTCAGGATATCGAAGGTTTGGTGGACCATTCCACCACAATTCATGCGCCTTCAAATTCTTGGGTTGTATGCCTCTGGATATCGTGTCAGCTGGATTCGACTTGGAAGGGATGTATTTCCAAGCGAAATTATCCGTCGATCGTTGGATTTCTCGGACTCTGTTCCCGACGTACACTGCAAGATAATCGGGTGATTTGCGCAACCAGCACAATACTATCTGTGAATCGCTCCAAAGTACCACGGATTCGAATTGGACATCGAGGGCATCCAACTGTTTCACTGTAAGCCTTGCTAGAAGTTGAGCCGCCAACAGCTCCGCTCGCGGGGTGGTGATCTCTTTCTGCTTTCCTTTCTTTCTCGGAAGAATCCTTGATTTACTGCAGATCAGCTTCAAATCAGCCGATCCATCGCCTTTCACCAACCTGCTGTACAGGCAAGCGCCATATGCCAAGTCCGATGCATCTGCAAACCCGTGGAGCTCCACAGCACATGCTTCATCCGAAAGGATCCATCTCGGTATCTTTAACTCATTTAGACAGTGCAGCTCGTTTCGAAAGTCCGTCCAAAGATTCGCCATTTCAGTGGGCACAGGTTCGTCCCAATCCAAGTTGAGAGACCACAATTCCCGCATGATCAACTTCGCTGCTGTCACCACAGGGCCCACGAAACCCAATGGATCGAAAATCTTCGCAATCTGGCTGAGAATCAACCTCTTTGTGAGTCGATTCGGTTCAACTGTAGTGTCAACTGGAACGACAAATGTGAAGCAATCTTCCTGTGGCTGCCAAGCTACACCTAGAGTCTTGATGACTGCATTAATGGTTGGGTCTTCGATGTTGATAACACTTTCTCGCATGTTTTCCGGTACATCCTCCAGTAATGCCTCCGAATTCGAGCAAAACTTGTGCATACTGAAGCAACCCTTCTTCAGTAATCCGATAATCTGATTCTTCAGCTCTAGAGCTTCTTCCAGTGTGTTCGCTCCAGTCAGTACATCGTCGATATAGAAGGACTTCCTGACTGCGGCTGCAGCTAGTGGAAACTGCTGCTCTTCATCATTGGCTAGTTGAAGAAGCGCCATCGTGGCCAAGAACGGAGACGAAGCTAATCCGTATGTTACCGTTTGTAAATCATAGTTTGGAGCGGGTGGTTGCTGTCGTATCTATTTACAACCTTTTGGTACCGCCTATCGTTTCGATGTACTCCAACTTGACGGTACATTTTGGGGACGTCCGCAGTGAAGCCGTATTTGAAAACCCTGAAGTTCGATACGATGCAAACCAAGTGATTCTGCACTGTAGGTCCGATCATCTGCGTCTGATTGATAGATATACCAGTGCTCGATTCAGCAGAACCATCGAACACCACGCGAAGCCTTGTTGTCGTACTGCTGGGCTTCAAGACATAGTGATGAGGGAGATAGAATACCGAGTGTGGATCTTCATCGGTTACATCGTTGTTCAGCTTCATG